GGCCACGGTCTCCACGGCGACACAGATGCCACCGCTGCCCTCACACTGGATTTCCTGTCGCTAAAACGGGGCCAGGCTTTGAAGATTAATTGCGTTCTTAATTTTCTGGTGTGAAACTAAATACCCACAGGCCCCCCCCTTCCCCTGCTTCCCCTCAGCTCCCATCATGCTTTGCCTGAATCATCACAAACTCGTCCCTGATGTGCTGAACTCAGATCAGGGCAGATGTCGTTTAGTTTGTGTGGATCAGAGATACTCAGAACTACTGCTACTGCTACTGCAACTGCTACTGCTACTGCTACTGCTACTGCAACTGCTACTGCTACTGCTACTACTGCTACTGCTACTGCTGCTACTGCTGCTACTGCTACTGCTACTGCTGCTGCTACTGCTACTGCTACTGCTACTACTACTGCTACTACTGCTACTGCTACTGCTACTGCTACTACTACCACTACTGCTGCTACTGCTACTGATACTACTACTGTTACTACTGCTACTACTACTACTGCAACTACTGCTACTGCTACTACTACTGCTACTACTGCTTCTACTACTGCTACTACTACTACTACTGTTTCTACGGCTATTCTACTACTACTACTACAACTGCAATTGCTACTACTGCTACTGCTACTGTTTCTACTGCTACTACTACTACGACTGCTACTGCTACTACTACTACTGCTGCTACTACTACTACTATCCTGCTTTATTATTACAACTACTCGTGCCACTACTGCTGCTATTACAACTGCTACTGCTGCTAATAATAATAATAATAATAATAATAATCATTCTCACACATTTCAGTGTTGCAGCGCACATACAGGACAGTAAGAGCACACAGGGAGCACACAAAATATACATTATAATTATGTGCTATGTTTCTTAGCTAGCTGTAAATGCTTGTGTTGTTGTCTTGCCTAAGGACACAGCAACACAGTCCTGGTCTCCACACTCTCTCTCTTCTGCCGCTGGTTTGATGCCAGGACAGTTGCGATGGTGACGGATCAGTGAAAGCTAAAACCTCTCGCGCTTAAACGCCTCATTTCTCTGGAGCAGATTCAGCACCACGGACAGCGACAAACGAGGAGCCATGGGGAGAAAGTAATGAATGATGGAAAAATTGTTGATGTAAGTCAGCAGTCTTAGCAGAGACAGACTTCCCTCTCCACACACACTTTCTCCAGCTCATCTGGGGGAATCCTGAGGCGTTCCCAGGCCAGCTCAGAGACACAGTCCCTCCAGCGTGTCCTGGGTCCTCCCCTGGTCTTCTCTCCGTGGGACCCAGGGAGGCGTCCAGAAGGCCTTTGAAACAGATGCCCGGATGCACACCTCAACTGGTTCAGTGGAGAAGTAACGGCTCTACTCCGAGCTGGTATCTGTGACCTCGTCCTTTCTATCATTAACTCAATTCTGGTCATGATTTAAAGGGACTTTAGGAAATGCTTTCATGTAAAAATATCTATTATTCGTCCTCAGAAAACAGGTCACGTAAATAATACTTTATTGTTTCTGAACGAATGTTGAAATTTGAGTTATTTTGAAATTAAATATATTGGAGATGGACCTGGATCTACAGCCTAGATATATTGATAGATAGATTGGTACTGATTGCTGATATAAAGCAGTGATAAAGTCTGTGATTAAAATCATAAAGCAGCTTCTCTTCACGATGGAACCTTTCATTTGTATTCTAGCGGCGGCGTCTCGCTGCTGTTATTGCAGACGGCTCTAAAGTCCATATGAGCTTTGTTCTGCTGCGGCGTTTTCCATCTGTGAAACTTAAAATGAAAAAGCAGAAATGCCAAGAGGTGCGGATCACGCTGAGAAGGAATGTTTTCTCAACTCTCTGCTTTATTGGTTTTTATTAAGTCTATTGTGAAGATGGAGGAAGTCATTTTAAAAAGGGTACTCCCAGAGCAGTCAACTTGACGGCTTTTTGGTTTGGAATTGTAATTACTCATGTACATACTGTATTTGCTCTTCATAACTGTTTCTATTTCTATATGTCATTTGTTTTTTATAATTGTTTGTATGTATTTATCTTTTATTTTTGAAATATGACAAGTTCTACCTTTAACTCCCAGAGCAGCAGAGCAGTCATTTTGACTGCTCCATTCATTTAAATGGAGCAGTGAAATAAATTCAAATCTGAGGATTTTCAGTCTCTTTACAACCGACATTCTATGGCAGTTCTTTCTCCAAAGGGCGTTTAAACAAACAAAACATGGACGCTCCTCTCAGCATCGGCCACGGCTCCTACAGATGTAGCTTCAACCATCACTGACTTCTGCAAACTGTTGAAATGACCTGCAACTGCAGAAAAGTCACATAAAAGATCCATAGCGTATAAATCACTTTCAGTCAATATCAATTGATTGATCGTTTGAGCATTGGGTGCAGCTCTGATTGCTGCCCCTCGACCCAGAAATGGATTAAGGGGAAGAAAATGACATGTCAATCAGTCAATCAACTTTTATCTGTCGAGCGCATTTTCTACACAAGGCGCCTCACATCAGGCATTAATCATAAACCTTTAAAATGCAATCAAAGACAAACTAAGTTATGTTCACAAGAGATAATAAAAGTAAAAGGAATACAAACCTTAACATTTTAAAATCACACATGGGATAAAAATCATAAATAATCACAGTGCATTAAAAAGAGTAAAGATAAAATCCGTCAGTTGTTTAAACAGAACTGTTTTAACTTGGATTTGGAAACTATTGGTGCTGACATTTATGATAACTTTGTACGTTTACTCCAACTGATATTTCTAATGTGGATAGGTAAATGTATTCATCCAAACCATGTGACAGCTGCATGTTGTTTCACTCTCATTTCTCTTCCCCTTGTACCTCTGGATCACAGCCGCAGACGTGGAGCCGCCCGTAGCGCCTGGAGGATGCAGGGATAATGGCTCAGTGATTATGTGGCTGTTGTGAAAGCGCACCATGGACAATCTCTTTTGTCTGTGACACTCTGATAATAAACACACAGACACAAACCCCCCATCTCTGCTCAAACCTCTAATTTAATTTCTGCTATTCTGTTGTGTTTGTGCTTTTGTGTTGTCTGCGTTTGTACATAAGCGTAATGGAGAGAAAGAAATGTAGGAGGATTGTGCCGTGAGGCTGGAAAGTGTGTTTCATTAACATTAAGTCAACATTATTTCAAAATGAATGTATCTCAACAGAAGGAGAGAGATGTTGTGAACCAATCAAATCACTATAAAACTTGTTTATCTTTTGTACACTTGTAAGAAAGAGTGACTATATGACCCTTTGGACTGAGAAAGAAGGATTTTAGTAAAAAAAATAAAAATAAAAATAAAGTAATGCATTGGTTTTTTTTTAATCTCGCTTTTCTGGACACTCAAAGACGCTGTCATTATTCTTTCACTCCAAACATAGTGGTGATAAACTACTACTGTAGCCACAGCTGCCCTGGGGCACACTGACAGAAGCGAGGCAACCAGTATGTGCCCTCCCACTACCACAATCCCATTCAAACAGACACCAGACTCATTCTTTGACTACAGTTTCGCACTTTACAGCCGCAGCCGCCCCACTGTGGCACCTGGTGTTCCTACAGGCCTCCCATCACAGTACAAACCAGGCCCTGCCCTGCTTAGCCTCAGAGGTCTGACGGGATAAAAGGCTGATACATCGCAGATAAAGTCCATAGAGAGCTGTTCAGTGTCGCTGTGGCGCTCTCTGGTGGCCGTAAGCCTCACTGCGCTGCGGCTCTTCAAAGGCAGGTGCAGCGCGTGCCCGTGGTCAAGGAGACAGACCGGAAACACTCCAGACCACTTCACAATAGTTGCGACCTTTATCAGAGATACAGATAATGCAGTACTTTAAAAATTTGCTTTGTGGTCATTGATAACTTTATGTCTCTATCTCTGCAGCATGAAAGTACTGAGGTTAATGAGAATGTTTTTGTTGTTGTTTTAAATCTATGTATAGATTTATAGATCTCAATACATTTATAGATCATATAGATAACATAACGACAAGCGTAATGAACTTACCTGATCGACATGGACAAACAAAACTCCTGTGCTAAAATTCCATATATCATTATAGAATATATTACATAGTTAAATAGTTTGTTCTCTGAAAGCAGTGTTGGGCAAATTACCTCATAAACATAAGTATGTATTAGTTACTGAAATGTCAAAGAAATTGTTTTACAATTTTACTGTCTCTGAATTGTAAAGCATTACACTACTACTGCATTACTTTGAAGTTACTTTCCCCAAATATATGAATACAAACCAAATGATGCTATTGCGTGAGGTTGATAGAGCTTTTCTCACACTTGACTGAAATGTTCCACATCTTTGTCTCCAACAAACTGTAAATAATGGGAGTCTGTCCATCCGTAAAATGTACTATTGTCGACATAGTGCCTGCTTTTGCTTCAGCCTCAGCCTCTTCTACCAGAAAGGAACAACACTTCTTGGAAAATACTACTGGAGCAGATTTGTTCTCCTGCTGATTTCACGGTGGCAGAGCATTACAACAAAACCCAATTTAAATTCGGGTTAAAATGCTTAAAATATAATGTTGTTTGTGGATGCCTTACATTGCCAAGTCGCCGCAAAAAGCAAAACATTACAGTTACTATTCTACTTTTGTAACGAGTCACTCCCAACACTGTCTGAAAGTTAAGAACCCCAGCTTTAATCTGAATACCGCATACTCTTTTATTTTGAACGTGCAGAGCGGAAGTGTGAAGTGGCAGCTCCAGGTCCTCTCGTGCGCGTGTGCCTGTCTGCGCGCGCACTCACCCGGCACCGGCCCAGGACACACACACGCACACGCACGCACACCCACACACACACAAACACACACTCACCTATACTCACAAAGACACGCGCTCCCTGCCCATTACCATCAGCGCGTTTCTCCTCTCTCTCTCTCACACATCCCAAATGACTGAATGAGATTATTAAATTCCTAGATTATAATTCTGCTACAAACACAGAGATGCTCATGGATATGATCGTGGAGGAAGAATTCGAGATTAAGGAGGATGAGCCGTGGTACGACAAGCAGGACCTGGAGCATGGTACGTATTCTGACGTTTTGATTTTAATTCCAAATATGAGTCTTGTCTGTCAGATTAGACGCGATTTTAGACCAATGCAAACGCTACACCAGCCGCTATCTGCAACACAAGCGTAATCTAATGTTGCAATTCTGTGCTGTTTTTATCTGGCGTGATATTAAAGCTGAGGTACCTAAATTTCAAAGGGCAGTTGAAATGCATGTGTTCCAGTTCCTCACTCTCAAAACAGTCTATCACTAGTTTTTAAAGCATTGTTTGGCTCATCTTTTTCGGACAGAAAAGTGACAAAGAGCGGACCACCCTCACTCAGCCAATCAGCTCTCAGCCCAAAGCCCAAAGTGTCAAGTATAGTGACTGAGAAATTTGTTTCAAGTTAGCAAAATATGTTTTCTTGTAGGTTATAGACAGAATTCAAATTAGGTCACAACATTGGCTTCCATAGTTTGTGACTTCCTATTACTTAGAATGGCAATAAAAATGTGTCTAATATTTTGTCGTAAAATAACATAATTTACATTGTTTTTATTTAGCTTTAGATACAAGACTAGTTGTTACTTACCTTCAAACACAACCAGTCCTTCTATCAGACCAGACCTGTCCCAAATGCAGTCCCCTGTATCATTGTATGTGGCCCTGTATCGGTAGCACATAGTAGTTTTTTGAGATCATACATCATCCAGCCAACTTCAGCTCAGGTCAAATGGTCATTGTTGTAGGGCTCAGAAACCGTTCAAATGCAGGAAATCCCAGGAAATGCAATAATAACAAACACACAAGAGACATTGGTTCATAGAGAGCGGGACGACCACTGTCCAGAAATTATTTAATTAAAAATCGCAATATTTTACTCGACTGTATTGATTTTATCGCATGTTCAAAATACCGCGATAATGAACAGAATCTATTTTTTTTTCATTTCATTTATTTATGTTTTTACAGCTGCGTATAATTTGCTTTTTATAACTTGTTTATGTAGCAGTATAAAGATGACCCGTGCGATTAGTGCGGAGAGATACAATTGCGTAATCATGGCTGGTTTGGTTCCTTTTCGTACATTTTCTGAAGCAGTTTGAGACACGTTTGACCTTTTTGTGGTTGTAAATGTGCTGGTTAGAAGTCAGATAAATATTGACTTGTAAGACGAGATAACCATTAACAAAGCGAGTTTAGGAGTTTTGTGTTTATCTGTGTGTAAACTTTGACTCAACCTCAACATATTTGTCTCAACGTTTGCTTTTAAAAATACACAAAAAAAAATATAGAAAATCATTTAATCAGTGAGGTTTAGTGCTTAGTCAGCTGTCTGGATCATCGCCGATTTGAACATATGCTAGCTGAAGCCGATTTCCTTATATGGGCATTTGTTCTGATGGCGTTTGTGTCAGGGGCAAATGTGTTGCTAAAACTGTTGCTAAGGAAAGCTGGAGGTTCCCCATAGACTGTATATAGATGCTAACGCTAGCTCAATGCAGGCTAATGGTAAAGCTGAGCAAGAGGAGATTACTTTTCAATGCAAGTCAGTAGGAGCCAGAGCGAGCTGGAGCAATACTTTTAGCAATACTTTTTCCATGGCGGGTTAGCATTGTCCATATATATACCGTCTACAGTCTCCATTGTTCAAGCCTGCTGCCCAGACCTGCAATTGCAAATACCGTCATTTCACCTGAGAAATTACCAAAACTAATTTATGTGCAATAATTTTAACAGGCGGAAAACTGCTCTGAGCATTTAGTGGTAGCCACAGTGGTCTCTCTCTCTCTGGTCTCTGGTCTTTCTCTCTCTGGTCTCTCCCTCTTCCTGGTCTGTCCCTCTCTCTGGTCCCTCTCTCTGGTCTTTCTGTCTCTGGTCTCTCTCTGGTCCCTTTCTCTCTCTCTCTGTTCTCTCTCTCTCTGATCTTTCTGGTCATAGTGGTACAGTGACTTCTAACTATTCCAGGACTGAGACCGGAGGCGAGCTACATGTCTGAGCCAGAAGTTCCTGATTTTAGCCTGGATGGATCTAAAAACTCTCTTTGATGAGGTTAAAAGTGCATAGTATGTCTCCTTTAAGTCCAATTCTTTTGGTTTAGTCTATGATACTATAATTAGAATCAGAATAAGACAAATTTTTGACATTGTAAGTAACAGGAAGTGATGCAAACAAGTAAAAAATACATTTAAAAAAAATCTTCGTAGGTTCTCTCACAATGAATATCCAGACTTACATGTGATCCTGTCAGACCTCTGATGCTAAGCAGGGAGCGATCAGGGTAGTACTGTGATGGGAGACATGGCATGTGAAGTGTCGTTTAAGCCAAAAGAGCACTATATAAAACCAAAGCGTTACTATTATTACTATATACACACAATAGACAATCCCACTAGTATTCAACATTGCTGTCAGATCGTTGACATATTCGTGGCCAGTTTCGGTGTGGAGTACATTGTCTGGAGCAGGGCCAACACAGCGGTGGTGGAGGCTTACTGAAATCGGCTTGGTTCTTCTTACCGCACCTCTCCTCCTCTGCTCTGGGAGTTCAGGTGAGAGAGCTAGCTTGTAGACGAACGGACGGTGGTCTGGATGGATGGAGCAGGATTGTGAAATGAGCGGTGAAAAGGTTTTGGTTTGTCCCACAGACCTCCAGCTGGCGGCCGAGCTGGGGAAGAGTCTCCTGGAGAGGAACCGGGAACTGGAGCAAGGACTGGGGCAGATGTACTCCACCAATCAGGAGCAAGGGCAGGAGATAGAGGTAAGAGAAAGGAAGGAGACTGGTACCAGGTCCAAACCAGTCTACAGCGAGCTATAATACTGTGTGATGCAGGACTAAAGCTGGACTGAACCAGGTCTAAACCAAACAGAATCATCATTGGGACTGGGGCAGAGACTAGAGCGGAGACTAGAGCGGAGACTAGAGCGGAGACTAGGGCGGAGACTAGAGCGGAGACTAGAGCGGAGACTAGAGCGGAGACTAGAGCGGAGACTAGAGCGGAGACTAGGGCGGAGACTAGAGCGGAGACTAGAGCGGAGACTAGAGCGGAGACCAGAGCGGAGACCAGAGCGGAGACCAGTGCGGAGACTAGAGCGGAGACTAGAGCGGAGACTAGTGCGGAGACTAGAGCGGAGACTAGAGCGGAGACCAGTGCGGAGACTAGAGCGGAGACCAGTGCGGAGACTAGAGCGGAGACCAGAGCGGAGACTAGAGCGGAGACTAGAGCGGAGACTCGAGCGGAGACTCGAGCGGAGACTCGAGCGGAGACTAGAGCGGAGACTAGAGCGGAGACTAGAGCGGAGACCAGTGCGGAGACTAGAGCGGAGACTAGAGCGGAGACTAGAGCGGAGACTAGAGCGGAGACTAGAGCGGAGACCAGAGCGGAGACCAGAGCGGAGACCAGAGCGGAGACCAGAGCGGAGACCAGAGCGGAGACCAGAGCGGAGACCAGAGCGGAGACCAGAGCGGAGACCAGAGCGGAGACCAGAGCGGAGACCAGAGCGGAGACCAGAGCGGAGACCAGAGCGGAGACCAGAGCGGAGACCAGAGCGGAGACCAGAGCGGAGACTAGAGCGGAGACTAGAGCGGAGACTAGAGCGGAGACTAGAGCGGAGACTAGAGCGGAGACTAGAGCGGAGACCAGAGCGGACACTGAGAGGCAGAGAGAGCGAGAGAGAGCGAGAGAGGCAGAGAGAGCGAGAGAAAGGCAGAGAGAGCGAGAGAGGCAGAGAGAGCGAGAGAGAGGCAGAGAGAGCGAGAGAGAGGCAGAGAGAGCGAAAGAGGCAAAGAGAGCGAGAGAGAGGCAGAGAGAGCGAAAGAGGCAGAGAGAGCGAGAGGCAGAGAGAGCGCGAGAGGCAGAGAGAGCGAGAGAGGCAGAGAGAGCGAGAGAGAGGCAGAGAGAGCGAGAGAGGCAGAGAGAGCGAGAGGCAGAGAGAGAGCGAGAGGCAGAGAGAGCGAGAGAGAGGCAGAGAGAGCGAGAGAGAGGCAGAGAGAGCGAGAGAGAGGCAGAGAGAGCGAGAGAGAGACAGAGAGAGCGAGAGAGGCAGAGAGAGCGAGAGAGGCAGAGAGAGGCAGAGAGAGGCAGAGAGAGGCAGAGAGAGGCAGAGAGAGGCAGAGAGAGGCAGAGAGAGCGAGAGAGGCAGAGAGAGGCAGAGAGAGGCAGAGAGAGGCAGAGAGAGGCGCAGAGAGCGAGAGAGGCAGAGAGAGCGAGAGAGGCAGAGAGCACTTATTGGATTTCACACTAGAAACTGGCAGCCCAAGTTAGTCTCATGCGAGGCTCATTCTGCTTTCTAATTGGACGATTGGCTTGAAAATCGAATGTCATGCCCAATGATTTGTGTATTTCAGAATTAAGTATGTTTGTGGACACAGAAAGACCACGTTTGTTTGTTTGTCGTCCTGAATTGTAATCTTGTCCTTGGTTCAAGCAGAATCGATAGTATTCTTAGTTCAATGTCAATATTACGTCTGTGTTTATGTCTGTTTTAATTGGCTTAAGTGGTCAGTCTGGAGGCAACGTAGATCTCTCTCTGGATAAATCTCCAACACTTTATTTGTGTCAGGTTCACCAACTCAGCGGATCTTTGCCGTGGTCTATGCTGGTGTTTCGTCGCTGATGGTTCAAAGTGTGCTTGTCTGAGCGGGAGATTAGATTAAAGGTCCCTAAAGAAAATGTACATAAACATAGAATGGAAAGAGTGGAGGAGTAACCAAGGAGACGGAGGAGCTGTGTGTCTGAGAACTGTGAGCTGCAGCAGCCTGTAGATAGATACAGGATTTTGTTATAGGTATGGTTTTGTTTATGATAATAGCAACTGTGATGCTCTTGTGTTTGCCTGAAATAAATAAAATAAATAAGCTTAATCAAATTAAATTAAATTAAACAAATTAAACACATTAAATCAATGAAACAAAGTAAATAGATTTAATTAAATTAATTAAACAATTTTTATTTTTTTAATAAAATAGATATAGATGATTGATGGATACTTTATTGATCCCCGTAGGAAAAATGCTGGTGTCCAGCAGCAAAAACACATCCATCCAACGAATAAACAAATAATTCTCAACAGTAGTAAAGGTGCTGCAGCCGCTGATGTGAGTCGCTTCCTGTTCTCTGGTTCAGTCTGACATTTTAGAAGTGAGACAGTTGCGCCCCCTGGTGAGCAGGTGGACAACTGTCTGTTGCTAAAGCTCCACTAAGTCCAGCTGTGGTACTGTGGATGTGGCGCAGTTACTGTACGTCATAATAAATCCAGCTGTTGCAAATCTGCAACGCCTGTCTGGAGAGGGTTAATGCAGGGATGTTTTACGGTACAATGGTGTGTTGTGCATGTGTCTCCATGAACGCTGTAGTTATTATATAAACTACACTTTTATTACGACTGCTGAAGGAGTAGCTCTTTGCCTTTTTGTTTTATAATATTATCTCTCCAACGGAAAAAGGTTGTTTTTTTTGTTTTTTTTCCTGTGTTTTGACTGTTCTCTGTTGGTTCCCAGTACTTGACAAAGCAGGTGGAGCTGCTCCGTCACGTGAACGACCAGCACGCCAAAGTCTACGAGCAGCTGGACTCGTCGGCGCGAGACCTGGAGCACAACAACCTGAAGCTGATCTCTGAAAACCGCACGGCACAGAACAAGATCCAAGGGTCAGTGTTTCTCCTGTTCATTATGATGGCACTGAGTTTATCTGTTTATTACTGTTTGACCTCTACCTCTACATTACTGCTCATTAGGGCTGCATGGCTTTGTATTTGTATTTTAGTTGGAGGGCAGCTACCAATACAACTCTGTGAGAAGGAGGCATTTTTATAAAAAAGAATATTTAATTGAGGAATGAACAAATGTTTCAAGAGTGTGTGTGAATCTTATCACAATTAAATATAGAGACCAGAGAGAAACCAGAGAGAGACCAGAGAGAGACCAGAGAGAGACCAGAGAGAGACCAGAGAGAGACCAGAGAGAGACCAGAGAGAGACCAGAGAGAGACCAGAGAGAGACCAGAGAGAGACCAGAGAGAGACCAGAGAGAGACCAGAGAGAGACCAGAGAGAGACCAGAGAGAGACCAGAGAGAGACCAGAGAGAGACCAGAGAGAGACCAGAGAGAGACCAGAGAGAGACCAGAGCGAGACCAGAGCGAGAGAGACCAGAGCGAGAGACAAGCTAAATTTTCTCAAGCTTTTAAATTTTTCGGGGTCAGAGCTTGTCTGGAAATAGCTTTTTTGTTTATGACTGTGACGTTGTGGGTGAAGGGAACCATAACTGTCACTGGACTGACGGATTCTCATTACCAGATCAAAAAGTACAAAAGTTCTTAGTCAGTCCCATTAGTCTCGCTCTCTCTCCTCTCTCTCTGGGAATAAAGTTTTACTCATTTATGTGTTCATGTGTGTGGCCCCCAGGCTGACGGAGACGGTGGAGCTGTTGCAGACTCAGGTGGAGGAGCTTCAGAAACAGGTGGAGGACTTAAAGATCAGCTCCAGTCTGAGATCCAGGCAAACGGGACGTCCCAAAGGCAGACAGAGCATCTCCTGTCTGCAAGAACTGGACTATGCCTTCAGGTACTGGGAAATCTAGGTGTCCAGGTCCACAAACACAGCTTTAATAACCTGGTACATAGTGTTCATCAATTATTGTATGATCAGTGGGAACAAGCGTCAAATTCAATGTATTTGTGTATACATATATGTATAAATAAAAACAAAAATCTAGCTGAATTTTGATGATTTTTCCTAACTTGACCAGCCCCGGGTCAAGACTATTTCAGACCCTAAGTTATGTTTTTTTCTTCTACTTTTAATCACGGCTCATGCGTCTGATATTGTTCTCCAAACCAGGGAAGTTTCCTGTCGCCTCACATTGTTTTGTTTGTAATCAGAATCCTGGAAGTACCAGCTGTAAGCAGTTGGTATTTAGTGTAATTCTCTCCTACTGTGCTAATGCTAATGCTAAGCTAATGCTAAGCTAATCTCTGCTGCACAAAGCACTAAAAGCAAACAGGGCTGCACATACAAACATGCAATCAAATCAAAAGCGTGATTTACGTGGTCGAAGTGAGAAGATTTGCCAAAAAAAATTCAATTATCCAAGTTATTTACAACAAAAAAAAGGTTTAAAGGAGATTTAAAATAACTTTAATTCAGCCACATTTATTTTTTTATATATTTCAGAATATTTCGCCTTGTTGCCGGGCAGAAGTCAAAATGTCAAAATTGTGGAAGCCTTAGTTTGAGATGACTTGTTTGTGTTGTTGGTGAATCGGCTTTTACAGAAAATACCTTGGATTGAATTTCACTTCGTCCTCTTCCTCGTCTTCCTCTTGGTCTCATATCTGCGTTTATGTAACAGGCTTCAGTACGCGAAGGTCAGGGAACGAGGCGCTGATAAATCCCACAGACCCTGAACACAGCTCATAAGAAACTGATCAAAGTCCAATCAAACCAGGTCCACGAACGCACCGTGAGACTCACCGCTAATCTGAAGAACTGATAAAGTATCTCAAACCTGCGGCTATCGATACGTTACGTTTACAGATGGACACATTGTACAAAGTCGTGTTGATAAGACGCATTAGGTTTGGTTTTTCCGGTTTTGGTTTTGATCTGTTTATTAATTATCAGTTTTTACACATTTTTTTTGGTTCTGGTTCTGTCTCTCAAAGGTTAGAACTGGAATGATTGTTTATTACTTTTTCCCAACTTTTAAAGGAATGAATAAATTATTTAAAGGATTTACAATAGTAGTAATTCAATCAATCATTTATTTATATAGCACAGTTCATACAGAATGCAACCAAGTGGAAAGTAAAAACACACACAAAAACAGATACTACCACTTCTACTACTACTACTACTACTACTACTACTAGTACTACTACTACTACTACTCCTACTACCACTACTACTACTACTACTACTACTACTACTACTACTACTACTACTACTACTACTACTACTACTACTACTACTACTACTACTACTACTACTACTACCACCACTACCACTACTATAAAAAAATTAAATAATTCAATGTATTATAGAGATAAAAGACCCTTTTTCCGTCCCACATTTTGGAAATGTCAGTGTTGCACCAGTTACAGATACAAACAAGGTTCGTTCTTACAAATATGCAGTAGATAAAGTGTTTTCTGATCAGATGAAGACGGCAGGTTTGTTCTTGCTCTGGTCTTGCTCCACTTTGTTTCCTGTGTGCGGTGAACACAGGAAGTTAGAAAGTCTCTGACCACAACAGTCGTTTAGTTTTAACGCTTACATCGCTCTCAAAGTCTAAAAAGTCTCACTGTATTGTGTCATGTGTCTGTCTTAAGTGTTGTTTCAAGGTAGCACCCTGTGAGTCCAAGACAAATGATAAATAAAATGTGAAAGATAAATGATACACATTTTAAAAGATTAAAGTCATGATGATGATGATGATGAATTATACATGATATAAAATAAACAACAAATAACAATAATAAAAAAAAACATCAATACATGCAAGATACTGTTATCTCCAGGACATAAATTATTCATTAATTAATCTTGAATTTATAAAAGTCAAAGGGATCTTGTTGTAATTGTCAATAATGAGCCAACATTTTGAATCTAAACAAGACACATCTGATCTCTATATATTTACTTAGTCTTTTGTGCACGCAGCTTAAATAGGTCACTGGCTCATAGGTACCGGCCCCTAATGAGCTCCCATCACATAAACCTCACACACTGGAGAATGATACGTGTTTGTGAGGGTTGTGTGTTGTGTTGTTGTGTTGTTGTGTTGTGAATGCCTCGTGGCCTGGACAGCCTCGGAGAAGAGATCTTTGAATCTCAGTGGGATTTTCCTGATTAGATTGAAATTTTACTCTCTGTTTCTTTCTCTCTCTGCCTCTGTCTCTCTCTCTCTGCCTCTGTCTCTCTCTTGGACTCTCTCTCTCTGTTTCTCTTTCTCTCTCTGCCTCTGTCTCTCTCTCTGCCTCTGTCTCTCTGCCTCTGTCTCTCTCTCTGCCTCTGTCTCTCTCTGTCTCTGTCTACTTCTGTCTCTTTCTCTGTCTCTCTGCCTCGGTCTCTCTCTGTCTCTCTGTGTGTGTCTCTCTCACTTGCTCTGTCTCTCTCTTTCTTTCTTTCTCTCTCTGTGTTTCTCTCTCTCTGTCTCTCTCTCTACCTCTGTCTATCTATCTCTCTCTGTGTCTCTCTGTCTCTTCAGGCTGACCTCCGGAGACTCGGACCCCTCCCCTGTGGTCTGCTGGCATGAGGAGCAGAGGGAGGCGCTGACGGAGAGCCTCCAGGTGCTCCAGAAGCAGCTGTCCACAGAGCGCCTCCGCAGGGAGAGAGCGGAACAGCACGCGGACGTGTTAGCCAATGAGAACGCAGCCCTGGAGCAGCAGCTGGGCTCTGTGGACGCCTACAAGGTACTTTTTTACATATGTGAAAAATGATGCTCTGTATGCCAAACCTATGTTTACTTTTGGGTACGTTAAAAATAATACAAAAAGCCAGATCGAGGGCATTTTACAATTATTATCCCAATGTGGTCCTCATGTTTCACTTTTGAATGGACTGGAAAACGGCTGCAAGTCCTAAGTAGCTCTGAAACAGTTGTTGTTTTGTGCTTCACAATTTTTATTTTTAATTGCTTTTTTCTACCTGAGATGTTGCTGCAGTACAGTGTTCATGGTTTTACACCGGTCCAGACCGGAGCAGAGAGGATTCATGGTCCGGACCAAGTGGATCAGGTGAAAATCCACTGGAGGAACGCTAACTTTTTGAAAAATGCTAATGAAGCATTTAGCATTTTACTTTGGACCAGAGCAGAGAAAATGGTCTAAACCAAGCGGCTTCTCCACCTCTGCTGCTGTGACCTGAAGGTTTGTTGCTGATTATTACCATTATCTTTTTAGAATGATCCATTTTATTTTTTTATTTTTGCTGCTACTGGACACTTGAATCTCTCCTACGGGGATCAATAAAGTATCTATCTATTCATCTATGTAGATGAATTGCCTTAGACCCTCCTGTATCAACATGGAAGGACTTGGAAATAATATCTTGTAACAAAACAATCAGGGGAAAGGTGGCACACACTAAATGAGAAACTGCATTTAGAAGGGAGGAACGTCAATGGGAGCGGCTGTAATCCAATCTTCTGTTTACATAATCCCCAGAGAAACAAGTTGCTTTTCATCTGACATCAATTATAAAGAGTTTGAGGATTCTATGTCACTCTGTGTGTGTGTGTGTGTGTGTGTCTCTCTGTCTGTCTGTGTGTGTGTGTGTGTTTGTCTCTCTCTCTCTGTCTCTGTCTGTCTGTGTGTGTGTGTGTGTTTGTCTCTCTCTCTCTGTCTCTGTCTCTGTGTGTGTGTTTGTCTCTGTCTCTTTCTCTCTCTCTGTCTGTGTGTGTGTGTCAGAAAAAAACCAAAATCTTAAACAGCAGAGTTCAGTCCTTGATCTCAGTCATTCGAGATAAATGGACAAATACATTCAAATAGAATGCCATCACCATGGAAACAGTGGAACTCCAGCCTCCAGCGATGTCATCCAGAATTCTTATCTCTGTCATTGGGTCTTTTACAAATCGCACACAAACAGTAGCAGTAGTTTGATAACAAGAGGACAAAACACCAATGGAAGAACTACCAGTGGAAGAAATGGAAGAATCCTCGTACCTGTCAGCGGTGGAGGAGTGGGAGTTTGATGACCTGGACCTGGAAGACGCCGATTCACTCCAAGAAAACAAAGAATCGAAAGAACGTCTTGGTCCCAAAGGCTCCAACTTTTTCGCAAAACTCGCCCAAAGAGCCAAGTCCAAACTCTCCAAACGGTTGGACAGACTACAAGGCAAAACTCCACTGACGAAGCGACTACAGCGCCTCACGGTGGAGAACTCTGAACTGCACTCGCTGAACCAGGAGAACCAGAGCGAAGTGGCGGATCTGCATCTGTTGCTGGACAATCGGCAGAAAGTCGTTGGCGTTTTGCAGCAGGACTTGAGAACGCAGAAAGACGGATACGAAGAGACGATAACCGAGATGAAGGCAACCAACGCTTTGCAGGAGAATGAAATCTGCTTCTTAAAACGGGAGGTCCTGAGTCAACATATTGTCGGGAAAATAAGCATCGGGAAAGTCAAATCTCAAGAGGAAACTATTGAGGAGCTGGAGAAGAAACTGCAAAAGCAAAGTGAGGAACTGCTACGGTATAAACTGGTCAACAAGGAACTTATGGAGAAGCTGTCAAAGTTTGCAAAGCCAAGCCACGACTGGTCAAGGAGGTCGGAGACGACGGCTCGATGGTCTACAACAGAAAAACATAAATATTTGTAGATGTAAAGTGAGGTCTACAGATGTGACCCGTCCGGATTTCAGCTTCTGGAACTTAACACGGCAATAAAAATTACTACATAGCAAAGTAATGTTGTGTTTCTTAACTCAAAGCCACAGATCAAAACAACATCTAGACACGTAAAGGTGGTGCAGGGGTGAAGGCACTGGGTTTGACTCCACCTCCAGACCTTTCTGTGTGGAGTTTGCATGTTCTCCGGTTTCTCCTATTATGTACCTTAGCTTCCATAACCCTCTCCTAAGAGATTCTGAAATTTCAGTATCGGCACGGTGGCTGAGTGGATAGCACTCTCGCCTCTCAGCAAGAAGGTCCTGGGTTCGAATCCCGGTTGGACCAGGACCTTTCTGAGTGGAGTTTGCATGTTCTCCCCGTGTCTGCGTAGGTTTCCTCCGGGTGCTCCGGTTTCCCCTACCACTAAAAATATGTGCAATAGGTCTGGCATGTGCCTCCTGTACTGGTACCCCCACTCCCAAAAATCACAATTGTAAACCGCTTTGAGACTCCGATGTGCAGTGAAAAGGCGGTATATAAATAAAGATTACTATTACTACTACAGTGGTTGAAAAGAAGGTAAATACACAGGCTGTATATATGGGTTTGGACATGTCCCCTTTCGCAGGTTAGGAAGTGTTACCTGAAAAGAAGATGTAAAGACCTGTAATGAAGCAAAAAGGCCCAGACAGAATACATGTACACACTTTTTAGCATTTTTGTTGTTGTTGATAATTTTATGTGTGAGTTTGGAGAATCAGAATGTTTAATTCGACTTAAAGTTAGAGGCACACATTATTCAACATGTGCAAGTTACTGTACATGTTTGACCAGTCTATTCTCTTGGACATGTATTTATAGCCATTTTTGTGAGTGAATGTGAGAAAGGGGCTAATGCACAAATTTCTTCAGGATCAGTAAAGAATATCAATATATCTGTCTATCTCTATCTGTCTTTTTTATTTTTCACATTTCCAGGAGGTTGATGGGTGTATTTTCTCAATCAACTGACCAAAAGTACATGTTGCACTGTTGGATTTCCATAGACTTTTAACACTCTTTTCTCTCGTTCTTCTTTCAGAGCAGACTGATGGAGCTGGAGCATGAGGCCGAGGAGTTGCGGCAGCTGTGGCAGCTCCAGTCGTCCGCTCGCTCCGCTCTCTCAAACTTCTCTCATGATTTGGACGAAACCCTGGACTCCTCAAAGATCCCGCGCCTCCTCAAACGCAGCGGCAGCGAACGCACCTTCTCCAACAAACCAAACTCCCATGACCCCCAGGACGAGCACCACCACGCCTGCTCCTGCATCCGCCGCCACGACGCCTTCAAGTACCGCGGGATTTCTCTGCTCAACGAGGTGGACGCCCAGTACAGCGCTCTGCAAGTCAAGTATGAGGAGCTTCTCAGCCGCAGTCACGACCAGAGCCCAGACCAGGACCAGAACCAAGACCAGAACCAGAACCACCAGGATGACGACAAAAATCACTCTATGATTGTTCCAAATGTTGCTAACTTTGATAGCTTTAGCGATGACCTGCACCAGCCGGAGTACAAGGAGCTGTTCAGGGAGATTTTCCAACGCATTCAGAAAACCAAAGAGGACCTGGGTGAGAACAGGGGAGGGGAGGTCGGTGAGGGAGGAGGGGGAGATAGGGGACGACTTTAGTGCCTGTGAGAGAATAGGATTAGAGCTTCCTGCCTCAAAAAGCAGAGAAATGTAGAAACAAACAAGGTAAAACAAAACACATTATACTAAACGCACCATGATAAGCCTGCGATAAGCATGAAGAAAGACTGAAGAAACAGTGAAAAAAAAGTATTTGACAATGATTAAGGCGTAGACATCAGACGTCATAGCCCAGTGTAGAGTTGATATCATCCACACAGACCGGAATATTCACACTTGAACTCCCACGGCCGTCATTTTGACTGCTCCCATTCAAATGTATGGAATTCTGAAAACCCCAAAGAAGTGATGGTTTTCCACAAATTCAGCCAAAACGGTTTATTTCAAAGGCTAGTAAATGCTAACTGCTGCAAGTAAACAGTGTGTTGCTATGGTAACTAGTACCGGCCGGTGGAAAAAACAAACTGGACCAGAACCATCAGTCCAGGACCAGTACTTTGGACAAAAGGAGCTTTAGCTGTCGGTTGGCAAACAATTGAAAATGGCTAAATTTAAAAAGAATATCCTAAAAAGAATTGTCAAAATTATCAAGCGGAGTAATTTTCCTTCCAGAATACAAAGCCGTCAATTTGACTGCTCTGGAAGTCCTGGTGTAAACACATTCTAAACTTGGCTCAACCTTATTATGTCGCTAAGTATGAGGAGCTAACACTAGTTGCTAGCTGCTATACTCGCCCTCGCCTGGATCAGAGCGTAGTTCAGCGTTGTGGTTCTTTTTAAGCTCGTAACATCCGTCAATCGTCTTTCGCTTTATCCGGTGCCGGGTCAGACAGGGCAGCAGTCCGAGCAGACACCCAGACTTCACCCTCCACTCACTTCCTAAAAGCCATTCTCTACCGAGGCCATCCCAGGCCAGCCACGAGACACTATCCCCCTACTGTATCCTGGGCCGGGTCAGCTGGTTCCTCTTGATGTGGAGGAGCAGGGGATCTACTCCGAGCTCCTCACACTCGTTCTAAGGGAGCACCCAGCTCAATTAGACTCTTAATCATGCAGCTACATATGGGATTTGACCTTGAAGACTCAAAATCATCGCAATGCGGACAAATAAAGAACTTTTTGGTATTTTCTGGCAAAAAATGAGCCTCAAATATATTCACATTATGCAAGTTTAGTGATGTTTTGGTTATGTAACAATAATTAGAAGTGTTGATCCACTGTTGATAATTCTGTACACCTATGTTTGATCAAGCTGAAGCAATGAAGTAGTTTATTTAAGCCATAAAAATGTGAATTGTTAGACTAGAAATAATGAGTTTGTAGTAACTCAGTGTAACCAATGGAAGCTGCAACGTTTTATTATGGGATTGTATTAAGAAAAAAAAAGAATGTTATTGTAAACTTTGATCTTTGGTGCTGGATACAGGGCTGATCTTTTGTGTTTGTTAGTGTTGTCTGATTGTGTTTGAGTGAGAAACGCATGGAAGTATTTACTGCTTTTGCTAAACTATAATAAGTGCCAAAATAATGCATTGTTTCACTGCTGTATGTGTTTAGGGCGAAGTCTTTAGCCCCGTTTCCACCAGCCCTGCTCTACTCTACTACTGTACTGTACTCTACTCTATTCTCTATGCTACTCTACCTCTCTATGGTCTCTCTCTGGTCCTGGTCTCTCTCTATGGTCTCTCTCTGGTCTTGGTCTCTCTCTCTGGTCTCTTTCTGGTCCTGGTCTCTCTCTCTGGTCTCTATTTGGACTCTTCTTTACTCTACTACTCTGGTCTACTCTATTCTACTCGGCCTATCACTGTCAGTTAAAACAAACACTTTAGTACCAGCTCGGCCTGGTACCAAGAACCAGGACCAAGAGGGACTAAAGAAGGACCTGGTTAAACGGGGCCAGTAGAGCCGAGTAGAGCCGAGTCGTGTCGAGTAGGTGGAATCGAGGCTATAGTGAACGCAGAGCAGAGGTTTGAATGTGTTTTAAAATGACGTATCAGAAATAATCGTAGGATATTTTAAAAGTCGCATTACGTAACTTTTCTAGTTTGTGTCCATGGAGATGTACGATTTTTGGAATACTCCACAATATGGCTTTACATTTGTTATATTGGAAAGAGCTACAGACAAAGTTACGGCAAAGTCCCAGCTTTCTTATGCCTAACAGTCCAAGTTTGAATTCATGCTAGTTGTATACACGTGTTGCCATGGAGAAACGCACAAAAGTTACGTATTGCAGCTTTACTTAAACACACAAATCTTTCCAAGCTTAAAATCCTCTTGTACATTGTTAAGAAAAAAGCTGTGTGTGTGTGTAAATGTGATGAAATGTTGCGTTCAAGGACCTATTCTCCTGTGCGTATGTTTGAGTTTCATTGTAAATATTGAACTTTTTGCACTTTAGACTCGCACTGATGCTGTGAATGATGTGATACATGTATGTGGCCGACACTGGAGGGAGTTTGGTGAATGAGACCATTAAAACAAGATGAAACCTGAACGTTGTCTGAAGTTTATTACATAGAATTGCGTGTGAGGAAATACGTTTTGACAAAAGGATTGGATGTGACGGATTCAGGGGGTCTCAAAGTGCTTAAATTTTTTGTAATTTATTCAGATATTTTCACTTTCACCCGTGGTACTGCAGCTTAAATCCACATGATTTTCCCATAGACTTTGAGACCCTCTGGACTAAGTCATTATATAAGGGATAATGTATATTACGCAGGGCTTCGCCCTGAAGGAACTTATTTTCCTATAATGACCTGTGTACTATACATTATCCCGCTGCTTATACGGCTTTAGAACACGCATAATAAACTTCAGTCCATTAGGAATGCCGAAAGGTTTCTTTAATGACAGAAAATAAAATAGTTCCCAAAGGCTTTCCCGTGGCTATGCGAGTAACAGCTAGGCTAGTGACAGTTAGGCTAGTAACAGTTAGGCTAGTGACAGTTAGGCTAGTAACAGTTAGGCTAGTGACAGTTAGGCTAGTGACAGTTAGGCTAGTGACAGTTAGGCTAGTGACAGTTAGGCTAGTGACAGTTAGGCTAGTAACAGTTAGGCTAGTGACAGTTAGGCTAAACAGTTAGGCTAGTGACAGTTAGGCTAGTAACAGTTAGGCTAGTGACAGTTAGGCTAGTGACAGTTAGGCTAGTGACAGTTAGGCTAGTGACAGTTAGGCTAGTGACAGTTAGGCTAGTGACAGTTAGGCTAGTGACAGTTAGGCTAGTGACAGTTAGGCTAGTGACAGTTAGGCTAGTAACAGTTAGGCTAGTGACAGTTAGGCTAGTAACAGTTAGGCTAGTGACAGTTAGGCTAGTGACAGTTAGGCTAGTAACAGTTAGGCTAGTGACAGTTAGGACTTCAGTTAGGCTAGTGACAGTTAGGCTAGTGACAGTTAGGCTAGTGACAGTTAGGCTAGTGACAGTTAGGCTAGTGCTAGTGACAGTTAGGCTAGTGACAGTTAGGCTAGTAACAGTTAGGCTAGTGACAGTTAGGCTAGTAACAGTTAGGCTAGTGACAGTTAGGCTAGTACAGTTAGGCTAGTGACAGTTAGGCTAGTACAGTTAGGCTAGTGACAGTTAGGCTAGTGACAGTTAGGCTAGTGACAGTTAGTTAGGCTTAGTAGACAGTTAGGCTATACAGTTAGGCTAGTAAGTGACAGTTAGGTAGTACAGTTAGGCTGTCAGTTAGGTAGTAACAGTTAGTAGTAGACAGTTAGCTAGTGACAGTTAGGCTAGTGACAGTTAGGCTAGTAACAGTTAGGCTAGTAACAGTTAGGCTAGTAACAGTTAGGCTAGTGACAGTTAGGCTAGTGACAGTTAGGCTAGTAACAGTTAGGCTAGTAACAGTTAGGCTAGTTAGACAGTTAGGCTAGTGACAGTTAGGCTAGTGACAGTTGTGTTTAGTACAGTTAGTAACAGTTAGGCTAGTAACAGTTAGGCTAGTAACAGTTAGGCTAGTAACAGTTAGGCTAGTAACAGTTAGGCTAGTGACAGTTAGGCTAGTAACAGTTAGGCTAGTAACAGTTAGGCTAGTGACAGTTAGGCTAGTACAGTTAGGCTAGTGACAGTTGTAGTCTAGTGACAGTTAGGCTAGTGACAGTTAGGCTAGTACAGTTAGGCTAGTAACAGTTAGGCTAGTGACAGTTAGGCTAGTGACAGTTAGGCTAGTGACAGTTAGGCTAGTGACAGTTAGGCTAGTGACAGTTAGGCTAGTGACAGTTAGGCTAGTGACAGTTAGGAGCTAGTACAGTGGCAGTTAGGCTAGTGACAGTTAGGCTAGTGACAGTTAGGCTGTGACAGTTAGCTGAGACAGTTAGGCTAGTACAGTTAGGCTAGTGACAGTTAGTCTAGTGACAGTTAGGCTAGTGACAGTTAGGCTAGTACAGTAGGCTAGTGACAGTTAGGCTAGTGACAGTTAGGCTAGTGACAGTTAGGCTAGTGACAGTTGTTACAGTTAGGCTAGTGACAGTTAGGCTAGTGACAGTTAGGCTAGTGACAGTTAGGCTAGTGACAGTTAGGCTAGTGACAGTTAGGCTAGTAACAGTTAGGCTAGTAACAGTTAGGCTAGTACAGTTAGGGCTAGTGACAGTTAGGCTAGTAACAGTTAGGCTAGTGACAGTTAGGCTAGTGACAGTTAGGCTAGTACAGTTAGGCTAGTGACAGTTAGGCTAGTGACAGTTAGGCTAGTGACAGTTAGGCTAGTGACAGTAGGTGTGACAGTTAGGCTAGTGACAGTTAGGCTAGTAGTGACAGTTAGGCTAGTGACAGTTAGGCTAGTAACAGTTAGGCTAGTGACAGTTAGGCTAGTAACAGTTAGGCTAGTGACAGTTAGGCTAGTAACAGTTAGGCTAGTGACAGTTAGGCTAGTAGTACAGTTAGGCTAGTGACAGTTAGGCTAGTGACAGTTAGGCTAGTGACAGTTAGGCTAGTGACAGTTAGGCTAGTACAGTTAGGCTAGTGACAGTTAGGCTAGTAACAGTTAGGCTAGTGACAGTTAGGCTAGTGACAGTTAGGCTAGTGACAGTTAGGCTAGTGACAGTTAGGCTAGTGACAGTTAGGCTAGTACAGTTAGGCTAGTGACAGTTAGGCTAGTAACGTTGGTAGTTTAGGCTAGTAACAGTTAGGCTAGTGACAGTTAGTAGGCTAGTAGACAGTTAGGCTAGTAACAGTTAGGCTAGTACAGTTAGGCTAGTGACAGTTAGGCTAGTGACAGTTAGGCTAGTAGTAACAGTTAGGCTAGTAACAGTTAGGCTAGTGACAGTTAGGCTAGTGACAGTTAGGCTAGTACAGTTAGGCTAGTGACAGTTAGGCTAGTAACAGTTAGGCTAGTAACAGTTAGGCTAGTAACAGTTAGGCTAGTGACAGTTAGGCTAGTAACAGTTAGGCTAGTGACAGTTTAGGCTAGTAACAGTTAGGCTAGTGACAGTTAGGCTAGTAACAGTTAGGCTAGTAACAGTTAGGCTAGTAACAGTTAGGCTAGTGACAGTTAGGCTAGTAACAGTTAGGCTAGTGACAGTTAGGCTAGTGACAGTTAGGCTAGTCAGTGACAGTTAGGCTAGTAACAGTTAGGCTAGTGACAGTTAGGCTAGTGACAGTTAGGCTAGTAACAGTTAGGCTAGTGACAGTTAGGCTAGTAACAGTTAGGCTAGTGACAGTTAGGCTAGTAACAGTTAGGCTAGTGACAGTTAGGCTAGTAACAGTTAGGCTAGTAACAGTTAGGCTAGTGACAGTTAGGCTAGTAACAGTTAGGCTAGTGACAGTTAGGCTAGTGACAGTTAGGCTAGTCAGTGACAGTTAGGCTAGTAACAGTTAGGCTAGTGACAGTTAGGCTAGTAACAGTTAGGCTAGTGACAGTTAGGCTAGTGACAGTTAGGCTAGTGACAGTTAGGCTAGTCAGTGACAGTTAGGCTAGCAACTCCCAAACTAGAACTCTCTGGAACTGCATGAAAAGTGAACAAAGAATTCTGCGGTGAGTGACCCAAACATAAACTTAAATCCATAATTTTATCCTCTGCAAATGTTCCTAAAATGTCCCGGAATCTACTTCTGGGTTTTTTGCGATCGCATTAAAACAGTATTTTTGTCATGAAAACATAAACAAATACTTCTGAAAACCTTTGTGCATGTGTATTAAGACTGTATATGTATAATGTATTCTCCAATAACATTTAAGTGTGTTGATTGACTGGTATTTGCGTTTATTGAGCGTGGCTAGCTCATGCTAGCTCCGGAGTGGCCGGAACTACTTGCAGAATAATCTACACATCTGAATTACAAGGACAGAGTGCGTTGCCAAAGGGCAGCGGTCATTATTGTTTTGAGAGGTCCGTTATAAAGAAATAATGACCGGTAGAACGTTTTTAAATTACATTTAAATCATTGGAGCGTTCTACTGCTGCTGTGAGGAGCAGAGTAATACACATGTTTACTTGTCTTTGTCTACACATTGTACAGAGTGATGGAAAATACAAGTTTCCTTCTTTAAATAGTAAACGACTTTAAATAAAAGTAAATTGTAACCTAGACCCAACTCTCAAGTCTTTTAAAACTAAAAAACAAGTCCGACCAGAAAATCCTGTCTTAACAATTTAAAAAAAGTTATATTTGTTGTAGATGTAAGAAGGAGCCCTGCGAGTCACTATTTGACTCTTCAGGCTGAGAGGTGGCGAAGCTAAAGAAGTGATAGAGGCCAAAAATACACATGTGCTGGAACTAAACTGTTTTTGAGAGAAAGCTAGAAAATAGTGATAGATTTTATTACATCATGTTGTAGTTACATACCCCAGCTTTATTATCGACAAATATTCGAACTCAAGATGTGTTAACAATTAACCATTTCTAAATCTTTGAACAAATGCTTCATATTGTCTTAAATTCAGAAGAAAAGGAGACAATAGACATAGCAATAATTTTATATCGACAAAGCTCCAGGTAACAAAGAACAAAGACATTTTTTTCCAACTTATTTTATTGATACTGTACAGAAACAAACATTTGACCTTTCTCAGATGGATTTAGTCATAATCGATTTATGTCATTGTCATTAACACCGTTTGTAGAAGAGGCACTTTTTTTCTCCATCGAGACTCGAGTTAGCAGCAGAAACAAACTTCTAAAACATCCCGTATCAATTATCAGTCTCTTTGTTGTAGTGGACAATATTCAAAAACTCACTCTTTTGCCAATCAATTCAAACTCAAATAAACCAAACATTTTAATATCTCTTTACGTTGAAAGGTTTTGGTACAATCTTGACATTTTATTTCACACCACGTCAAAATCAAGGGAAAAATTCGTAACAAGAGATCTCAACTTTTAGCTGATTTGACGTCGCAAAAACCAAGCAAGAATTTCCCCCTTTTTTTCTTAAATTAACTAAAAATGTTTGCTCTATATTGCTAATTAAATAAATACTAAAGGGTTTTTCATATGGAGAGGGAGGATGAATGACTTTAGCCTCGTGGGAGTTTGGAGATGGGCAGATACTATGCAGAATAAAACAAAAATCATGCGTTTATTGTAGGTTTTTGGTCCGTAACATGATCTTGAGTACCTTTACTTTGGCAATTTCACATTTTGAAACTTTGAAAACGCAGAGTAGAGAGAGAGGAACACAGGAAATCATGAAGATCGAGATTTAATGGCAGTTTGAAGATGGAGGTATTTGTCTGTGTCTTACTATTGCCTTGAGTCCGGGATAAAGAATTTTATGTATATGGCAGAAATGCACTGATTTTGAGAAAACCGCAAAAACACAAACAAAATAGTTGATAAGTTTGTCTTCTTTTGTCTGTTTTTTTAGAGTTTTGTCTGTTTTTTTTAAGAGTTTTGTCTTAAAGAACAATTATTATGCGTCATTATCCATCTATTTTCATCTGCTTTATCCGTTGCTGGTTGGCAGGGGGCAACAGTCTAAGCAGAGACAGCCCAGACTTCCCTCTCCACGTCCAAGAGGCATCCCAAACAGACGCCCGAGCCACCTCAAACTGGCTCTTCTCGTGTGTGGAGAAGCAGGGGCTCTACTCCGAGCTCCCCCCAGCCACTTGTATCTGTGATCTCATCCTTGCGTCATCAGCCTTTTGTGTAATACTTGTCAGTTTGTTAGGTTGTTTTACGGTAACATTTGTCGTCGGAGAAACATTTCAAAGCACAGCACCATAATCTTTCACGTACAAAGTTAAAAACGGCTCGACGTCTTCATGCAACTAAAGAAAGACATTGTTTTGTGAGTGTTTCATTGGAAGAACATGGTCCAGAGATAAAAATCTACCCTCATCGAGATATATTGTGTTTGTGATTCTAGCCTTTGTCAGTTTCAGCAGTGGAAGAGCAGAGAAAGAATTCCCAAAAATCAGACTGGATGTAGAAAAGTACAATTGCTGCTGTTTCTGGGAGAGAGGACACGGCTGTTACTCACTTGAAAGCTCCTTAATAAATCTATTTTGCATAATATGTGTCCTTTAAAGTAGTCATTGATATTGCGTTTGTAGAAAAGTTGGGCAACACTTTAGATTATCCTTCACTAAGTAACAGCTAATTACCCACACTGCAAAACTGAGGAAAACTAAGTCGAAAATGGCTCAAATTCGGCTAAAATTATCTTAATTTGAGCACATTCTGACTGCCTTAAAACAAGATTGACCAATGGGACAAGAGCTGAATTATCTAGTTTTAAAAAAGATACAAGAAATGAGAAAATGAAGCAACAGTTCTTGTAATAAGATCAAACGGCTTTGTCCCATTGGCACAGTCAGAATGTGCTCAGATTAAGATACAAAAAAAAAAAAAACATGATTCAAGCAAATATTTCCTCATTTTTTATTATTTTTTGCAGTGTAACTAGCCCTAACTCATGGGAAAGTGTCAGTTTGATGAAGAATTAAGACTAATAAGTGCTTAATAAATACCAATAAAGAGCTAATGAACCATACATCATACACTAATTAGCAGTTAATTAGTCAAGGCTAATCTAAAGTGTGACCAAAAGTAGATTTTTTGACATTGTGAATCCTCCATAACCGTTTCTCTTCAGATATCGTCTTCAGTTCTTAGTGTGTGGCTTCTCTGTGTCTGAGTCAACAGTCTGAGGGCTCTGATTGGATGCTGGGGTGTGGGGGTCGATTGTTGCGGGGAGGGGGCGTGTGGGACGGGTGGGGGGTGTTGGGGGCTCCGTGTCACGAGGGGCAGGTCCCTCTGAGGTACCAGTGTCCGGACGAGCTGATGCAGCACTCCTGCAACGACACATAACAACAGGGGTTAGACCGAGGACAAATAGTGGTTAGGGTTAAATGAGGTTTATGTGAGATCAGATGAAAGAATAGGAAAATGTGATGAGTTTATTTCTGTGTAGAGTCCACAACAACATTTATAGAAATTCCAAGAAATCCTGGTTTAGACAAAGGGGTTTCATTCCCATCGATTCATAAAAAAGGGTGTTTTACCTTGAGCAGTCGATCTACGTCTGTCTTGGGGATGTCTCCGACCTCCTGGGACAGTTTTGTGAGTAATAAGGCTCTTTTGATCCTGTAGTTTTTAGAGAAGAGTTCAAACAACACGTGTCGCAGCTACAGAAGAGAAAGAAAGACAAAAATATGACGATCAGATCAAATATAAACCAGATAATAATAATAACCCTAACGGCTGTATTTATGTGTGTGCGTCTGTGTGCGTGTGTGTGCGTTACCTTGTCCGAGTCGTCTCCTGTATTCCACATACAAAACACCTTCTGTTCGTCAGCTTCCAGTTTGGTTTGAGCAGGAAACTAAAATGAAAACAAAACATTAGAGCATCACCAAGGAAAACACTAAATAATCTCTCAAATGTGTCACGTGTGTAAATATGTTTAAGAATATATATTTCCTTTTGAATTTAAATCAACATCAATGATCTGAGTTGTAAATAAAAAAATATTTTGTAGCTGAGATTTTGTAATTTATCTAATAAACCACCCCAAAAAGCTCTATCAGTTGTTGATCTCCAGAAATTATGTATCAAAACATTCCTGCTTCTTGTGTGTTTATGTGAACAGCAGAGATGGAAGGAAGAGCAGGGAAATACACACAACTTTAAAAAGATCTATGTCCTTGGGAAGGGACCGCTCTCTTTACGGGGCTCCAAGTTCTTCACATTTTTGCCACTATTTGTTTTGAGTGGTTTCTTGCTGATGCAGGAGGGTCTAAGGGCCGTTATGATCCAAAACACTTGTTAACATGAATAGACTGTGATCATCCCGCTCCATATGGACCAATGGCCTTTAGGCGACTGTTGTGATTGAAGTCTGTATAGATACATTGACATTATTATATTGCACTTTCTTATTCATTTATGGTCCAATTGAATTTGAGCCTGAAATAATGATATATAACATACACAGTCCCTGTCAGTCCCTTCTTGTGTGGACGACCGTTGGAGGCCCCACTTTGGGAAGCACTGCTGTAGACTGGCCCCTAACAACAAAAGCCTTCATAATTCCTCTTGTTTACACTGTGATATAATACAAAATCCAGACTTGCACAAGCTCCAAACCCCAGGCTTCTCCACTTCCTGGTCGGAGTGAGTGGTTAGATTCCTGTGTCTCGAGCTGCAGCAGATTATTTCTCAGAGCTAATGAGATTTACTGTGAGGCTAATCAGGGGCTTGTGTAACAAAGATGGCGTCGACCCAGCTCCTCCCCGCGGAGCTGAAATCCTCACACAAACAGGAGCAGACGTGCAAGAAGAGGAGGAGGAGGAGGTCGAGGTCTGCAGGAGCTAAAGGCAGAGCCCAGACCCACAGGAGGCGCTTCACTGGGTTCACAGCAACAGACCTGGACCAGACTAGCTTCATGTTACTTCTTTTTCTGCATTGAACTATGAAGGAGGTGTGCATTTACCGACCCCGGGTCTTACTCTGAGAAGAGAGAGGAGGAGAGAGGAAAGAGTGTGGAATAGAAAGAGACATGATAAGAAAGAGGAGGAGAAAGGAGCGAGAAGGAAAGAGAAGGAGAGAGAACAAGAGAGAGGATAAAGAAGGAGAGAGGAGGAGGACAACAGGAGCTAAACAAAGAGCTCAGAACCACAGGAGGCAGCTTCACCTTTCACCGGATTCACAAAAACAGACCTGGATCAGTCTGACCTCGCTGTGTTCTTGATATTACAGTATTAAACTATGAAGTTGTGCATTTACTGACTCAGGATCTTTCTGTATGCACGCACACACACACACACACACACACACACACACACATATATATATACAAGTACAAACACACACATAGATTGGAGGTTTAGGCTACGTTGGAATGCCCCCCCCCCCCCCCCCTAACAGACTAAGCTGGAGTTGGCTGAATGACAAATGTTTACTTTCTCACAAGCTATATTAGCACCACACTTTCAGCAATTACAAAAAAAGTCACAATATAAAAACAAATGGATTCAAGCTTTACAGCGAGGCCCTCACAGAGAAACAGAGTGCTTGTGTCTGATTTGTTCTGAACCACCAACTTTTAACTGTAACTAATTTCCGTTTGTATAGATGGTGAATTCACACGGTTTTAGTTTTCTTTCTTTATTCCAGCTTTTAGGGTGACATTTTTAATCGGTCCAGGAACTACGGATGGAAAATGACCTTGTGGCTAATTCTGGAACATTTACAGTTATGTTCATTAATGTAAACTGTCCGCCTGTCAAATCAACAAATACATAAATAACCTAAAAGTACAACCTTCCTATAATGGCAGAGCTGAAGTTGGCTGGAACAAACAATATATTGAGTTGACACCATCAGTTTACAATACTTTGGTAATAATTCATCCTTTTCCAGAAGCAAAACTATCCATTAACTTTACACGGTGCAGAAGTACAATATTCTCTCGGAATGTCGGGGAAACCAGTTGAAGATTGAGACGTGTGAGCTCGACTTCTCTGAACAAAAGGCTCTAACTCTGCAGATAGAGTTACTGCGAGTGGAACCGGAGAGCAGGTTTGTAACGTCTTCAAGAATCTACCGTTAAAAACCGTTAAACAAGACTGAAAAGGAAACGGATACGAGAGTGACACAGGCAGGTCTTTGTAGAGAGAGACGGGGAAACCCAGAGAGGACTTTGTGATGTAGATGTGCAGGTTTAGGGAGAAAGTGGACTTGTTTCTTGCAGGTAATGTTTGATCCAATATTGTGATTGTGATCAGAACGGACACTGCAGACGAAAGCTGAGCTCGAAGGAGACAGAGATTCGACTTTCATCTGCTTCTTTTGATGTTTAAAACAAACTAAAGAGATGTATTGGTTACTAGTATTTTCACTAGAAAACAATACCCAGTGACAAAGGAATTATCTATCTATAAATCTGAATAGAAGTCCTTCCTGGGTATTCAGAAGTAAGTAAATGTCGTTTATTTTCACAAATGCCTGATTTTCTCTGCTTTTATTTCCCCTCACCGGGGAAGAAGGAAATAAGATAAAAAACAAACTTATTTTTTCTGATGAAAGTAGACAGTCTTGATGAGAGAAAGACCAGCAAGAACAAGCAGAGAGAGAGCAGAGAGAGAGAACAGAAAGAGAACAGAGCAGTGAGAGAGAGACCAGCGAGGGACCAGAGAGAAACCAGAGAGAGAGCTGAGAGAGACAGACAGGAGAGATTCATCCAGAAACTAAACTGTGTGTGCAAAGTAAAATAGTGTGTGCAATTTTAGACCCTCTTGCTCTAAATATTTATACATGTTGCACACACACAAACACAGGTGATGACTATACCCCTTGATGCAGCCCAGCTCCACCCAGACTTGACCTCATGAGAGACCCCTGCGAGGCCCCTGGACTAAAGCGTGGGTTGTACTCACAGGCACGTGGATCTGCCTGCACTGGTTCTGCAGGATGGCGTTCTGGAGCATGAAGTCGGACACGGAGGGGACCACGACCTCCCCCGCGGGTCTGGAGGCCACGTGCAGCCCGAACAGTCTCTTGAACTCCGACAAAGTTAAGACAAAGTGCTTCCTGAATATGGTGTTCACAAAGTGCTGCAGCTCGGGGGAGGAGGCGGGGTCCGAGGGGGCGTCTCCGGTACCGTTAGCATGATCCAGACCGCCGTTCACGGAGCCGTTGACATGAGGCGTAGTGTCCATGGGCTCCTCGCGGCTAATCCCCCGTTTAGCCGCTAGCTCCTTCTTCAGAGACGACTGGTTAGCTTGAGCGCGTTCCTGGGCCATTTTTAAACGTTGCTCCCCGGAAATATGAACAGCGTCTGAAATCACAGTAACCATAGTTTTCCATGGATTTGCCGACAATTGCCAACAACAAAAGATGCATTTATTGAAGTGATTGTTACCAGGTTGAGGGGAATTCTTTGGCATGAAGTCTTCTATCGAGAAGTTGAACACTTTTTCCAACCTACAAGAAGCAGAGGCGTTTTAATTTGAATTCACGGGCTACTGGAAGACCAGGGAGGGACCAAAAAGAGACCAGAGAGAGACCAAAGAGAGACAGGGACCAGAGAGAGAGAGATACAGAGACCAGACCAAGGAGAGAGGGACCCGAGACCAGAGAGACCAGAGAGACCAGATGGAGAGGGACCAGAGAGACCAGAGAGAGGGACCCTAGACCAGTGAGAGTGAGAAGAGAGACCAGAGAGGACCATGGATGGAGGCGAGGACCCACTTGCTCTGAATCCCCATCCACAGCATGTTCTGCCGGTGAGCGATGTCCGGATGCTTCTTGTTGAACTCGTGGTCGGTCGGCAGCACAAACTCCCAGCCGCGGTTCACTCTAGGAACCGCCACGTGCTCCAGAAACTCTTTGACGTCCTCCGGAGGCAGCTGCAACACAAGGAACAAATGTGAAAACTGTGTCTTCGCCGGAGCGGAGAGGTCTGGTGTGGACATTTCTCACTTTGATAATGTTGGTGACTTCCTTCCTCATGACAGAGCGCACCATTGTGAACCGCCACATCTGAAAAGAAGATTCAAAAGTGGACGTTACTTCACACTGTTACTTCACGACTGTCAGTCGATGAGATGTCCAAACTTAGGTCAAGAATGCGTGAAGTACTGGACCTTCTGACCACTGGGAGTGTGGACTTTACATCTCTTACTGCAGAGTTCTAAAGACTTCCTTTGTACCAAGTATCCAGTCTGGTATTGCTTGCATCATTGATTCTCTGCCTCTGATACTCTGTCCATCTTATGCCTTGTATATATGAGGTAGAAATATGAGGTAGAAGCAGGAGGTATGAGAGCATTGATTATTTGTCGTATGCAACAGTACGTGGTGCTTTCAGCTCAAATAAACAATCGTAACTATTCTAAATCTATGAATTCTAGAAAAGAGACAGAAAGAGACAGAAAAAGAGGGGGAGAGAAACCATGAGAGAGAGAGAGAGAGAGAGAGAGAGAGAGAGAGAAAGAAACAGATACAATGGGGGACAAACAGAGAGAGATAGAGACGGAGAGGGAGACAGAGAGAGAAAGCTGGTTACCACAAAGTCTCTCCCTCGACAGAGCACTTCAGCCGGGACGCCGCTGTGAGCGCTGCATGTGTTTTTAGGATACAACACGTCGCTGGAAGAAAAAATAAGTTTCTTCTTTATAGAAAAATAAATAATCAAGATCAGCCATTATTTACATTTTGATTATTAAATTGAGTTTCTCTGCATCTGTGTGTGTCTTTTGAATATCTAATTTCCCAGATTGGTATTAAAGTTGGTATGTTGATATTTTCTTTGTTATGCACATTATATATGTACACATGCATACATATACAGGGGTGCACATACATTTTTCAATGTGGTTGGCAGCTGCTTGCAGCCCCCTGCACCCGAAATTGACAAAGGGGAATAAAATGGGATCGATGGTTGTTCGATACCAGACAATATTGTCAGAATTTCTATTGTCTGGTAAAGAACTAAATACCTTTATTTTTACTAAGACAAGATAAACTTTCCTAAACTATGACATATATATATACATACATACATACACACACAGTATACACTTTATGTTGTTTTTAATATACTAAATGCTTTTTCTGAGTGGAGGCCCCCTTACCTTTTGACCACCCAGTTTCCCTGCACCAGCAGCGCCACTTGCTGGATGCACCGCAGCACTGCAGTAGAGTCTGTGCCCAGAGCGAGGAGACCCATGAGGTTTGCAAACGGCATTATCTTCACTGCAGAAGACAACACACTGTTACTGTCACTGTCACTGTCAGGTACTAGGACTTACACGAATACAATCCACTTTATTTATAGCACACATTTGATAAAATGTGTTTCAAAGAAACACATTCAAATACAAGTCTGTATCTTTGCGTGAATAAAAAAACTATAAGATTAATTAAACATTAATAATTATAAAATAAAACAATTTAAATACATTAGAAACAATAAAACCTTACACTTATATGTACAATAAAAAAGTAAAAGTTATAAGTTATCTCTGATAAAAATAGTCCTGCGACTGCACACTACGGAGAGAGCGGCTGCTGCTGAATTGGAAAAGGTTACTTAACATTTATGTAATCAGCAGATTTGTTGATTTTAAAGGTTGCAGAAGATTTTTGTTCCTCTATAAACAACTCAACTCAAGGCAGTGCACAATGTTGGATGAAAAGAAGGCTGTTATCTGCATCATTTTACAATTAAAATATTATGTCAAGTCTTTTTAAAAGACTTGATTTGGCATTTTTGTTTATTGCCAATGTTTTGGGAGAGTTTTTAATACACACTTATAAATAGAGGTAAAGCAAAAAATATGTCAATAATCTTTTGCTCCATATCGCCCAGTCCTTTCAAACAGTTCTTTTCCTACCGTTCTTCATGAGGGTCTTGACCTGCTCGGCGAGAGGCAGTGTGCGGAGCTGAGCCATGGACAGGACGTTACTGGGACCTGCCACCTGAACACTACAGCAGAACACACACACACACACATAACTTTACTTCAGCAAAAGAAAAAAGAAAAAATTGTTTTTGATGGGATTACTTACACTTTCTCCTCGGCTTGTGGCGGCATGAGCATGGCCAGGTACTCCCTACACAGTCATGTATTAAACACAGCTCAAATATTCAGATTCATGAAGACGATTGTGGACTTACTTTGGGGTTTTGACCAGTTCTGAGTTCTGAGAGGCGTCCACGGACTGACAGTAAAGATACTGCTTCTCATGTTCCGAACGGGAATCCTGCAATAAAAAACAACATTCAAATGATACAGTTTATGTAATGGCCAGACATAAAATCACACTATAGAAATGTATTTGTTATTCACACTCAAAGACACTTCACATGTCATTACTCTCTCGCTCCAAACACAGTGGTGATAAACTACTACAGCAGCCACAGGGCACAGACGGGTTGCAGACAGTATGGCCACAATACACATTTAGGACCCTGTAGAATTATTTAAATTAAATATTCTTCATAAACAATGCATTAAAAGCAGTCCCTCCACTGAACCAGCACCAGTAAGATTTGCTATCCACATAGTTATATTGTGATAATTGCATTCATTCATTCAGTGCTTGCAGCCTCTCACCCGGAGGCCGTGGTATCGCAGGTGAACCCAGGGCTCCTCTGCGTGTTTCTTTTGAATGAACTCGTACGACTGGATCCTTCTCTGTCGCGCCTGCTCCGACTCCGGCCGCGCGAACCTCACCTGCAAAACAAACACAAATGCAAAATATGAGTTTCCTTTGAGGTCAGAGACATCAAACAGCAGCACAAGCTCCACATAGTTATAGTTCTACTTTTAAAATGTGCCATATAATTTGCTGTAAATGGTGCAATGATGACATTGAAACTTCCACAAAGGGACGAATAAAAGAACTGGTCAAGTTATGAAAAGTCATCAAAATTCACCTCAAAAAAGGAAGTAGGAAGGTGTTTTTTACCGTTATGGCCTTGGCGTCTTCTTCTGCTTCGTCTTGGGAAGAATCTCCACCTGAAAACCACAACAAAATAGTAAGATTTTCAGCCATTTACACCAAAACTTGAAATGTAAAATCGGGGACACCCACCTTCTCTCTCCGCCTCCCTCTCTCTGGTTTTGTTGTCGGCTTTGTCCAGGTACGAAAAGCTGGGTCTCATCTGAAGGATCCCATTGAGAGGAGTGATGTGGAGCTCTCCTGGGGAAATACATGGGATAAAAAGACATTAGCAAAGTCCAACCAAAGTCTACATCACATGTTTATTTAATGGTGGAAAAGTGTAACAGATTTATACAGTGGAGAGCTAGTAATTAAGTTAAAATACAGGAAAAATTGTGATCTATCGTCATCCATCCATTTTGTTCCGTATTATCAGTTGCAGGAGACACCTAAATAGATAAAGAAAGATAGATAGACACTTTATTGATCCCCGTAGGAGAAATTCAGGTGTCCAGCAGCAGAAGACTCATCCAGGTCTGTTGTACAGTCTGACAGCCGAAGGAACAAAGGATAATAATCAAATAATCAAATCTGTCTGAGGGACAAAAGTGGTTCTCTTAGTTTTTTTTTTTATAGCTCATCTTTAGCAACTGGCAACATATTTTTTTCACATTATGAAAGTATTTTCAATAAATCATTACTTTTACTTTTAAATTTTCCAGCAGATACTTTGAGTAACTGTACCATCTGAAGGTACCATCCATCCAGGCAAATATTTTTTGAAAGATTTTTTTTGTTTTCCAAAAAGGATTTCTAGTCCTGTGACCAGTTATCCCGCCTCAACTACTGTCCATCAACGATTTGAATTAATGGCTTCCAATCAGGAAGCTGTGGAGGCGGGTCTAACTGGTATCAAAAATATTCAAAAAGTACCAGACCTTCACGTTAATAGATTATTAATAAATTATTAATGCATTGGAGTTTAAGAACAGCTTTCCCAACACATAAAGATGTCTGGGCCAGTGATTGGTTTTCAACTACTGAGCCTGAACATTGAGCGACTGGTTTTGCACACGTTGATTTTTTTTAAGATGTTGTGCCATTTCGCTCATCGTAATAAGGCTCCTGCAAGAGGAAATTGCACCCCTGGAATAAGAATAAAAACCCAGAGAGATTTGAGTATAACACTTATGCCTTTAACCCTTTAGGCGCCGGAGTTTTTTCAAGAAAATATACAATTTTGATTTCAAGATTTCAAAAGGCTATAACTTTAAAATGGTTTGAGATAAAGGCATACTATAAATTAGACATATATTCAGTTTGAACCAAACTTTGGGATGGAAGTTGATTCGTCATCTAATTTGCATATTGTGACATCATCAAGGTAGTGGCCATTTTGGAAAATGTTAATTATTGTATAAAGACTTCAAAAAGCTGTAGCTTGGGAGTTTTTTGAGATCAGGGAATACTAACAGCACTAAATGTGAAATATCTTTAGTATGAAATGAATTTGGGATAGAAATAAATTCCATGATCCAGATTATAGATAATGTTTTAGCATTGGTTCGCAGCCATATGGAATTGTATTATTTTCAAAGACCTTCAGTGATCAAGTCAGCACTCTTTATAGTTTACAGTCATGAAATCTGGAGATTGAAAGGGAAATATTGAAACCAAAGAAGTGGTGGGCATACTATTATTCTCAGTGGAAATGAGGCTCCAGGATTTATCGTTTAGAAACAGAGAGATGAAATGAATGGGCACAGAACATGTCAGATCGTCTCAACAAGAAACAACAGGCTCTTCAACACTTCTGATCCACTTTTGTGGATTCTTTTCTCTCAAGAACTGCCTTGATCCTCATCATCGCTGTTGATAAAGGCAGTGAACGCGATTAGCGATGTGTTTTTTTTCCCGCGGCTCCCCCGCGACTTCTCCCGCGTCTCCCGTGTTCCCCGTGGATGTTTACCCCGGCTACTTTCTCCCACATGCCCGGTGTTATGATGCCCCTGTCCCCTCCACCACGGCCCCTGCTTGGCGTTCACAGAATGCTTCTACCGCGGCCACACGGAGGACAAGCAGCCGCTGCACATGGGCTGATTGTGGACCATATGGCACGGTCTCCCCGTCACCAATAATGTCCGTGTCTGCTTCACTGGACACCTGCGTGTCTTCCTCCTCTGAATCTGAGTGAGCCAGTACCAGACCAAGTACTTATCTGGTACTGAAGACCTCGTGAGTAAAATAAAAAACACTCTTTCCCTCTGCTCTGCTCTCGCTCCTCTCAGTACAACTGCTGCTGCTTCGCCTCCGCGCCGCTGCGCCGCAGGTGTTTTACGAACTCAATTTACTCAAAAATGTTCAATATAACCACACCCACAAATGTTGCTCATATTACAGGCACACATGTCCACTAACCCCTGGTGAAAAGTATTAACAAGATTCTGCACCACATTTTTACATACAGCCTGTTTAAGTGAGCAATGTTGCTTGTCACAATATTGCGACTTTGGCGCTTAAAGGGTTAAGAAGAGTTTATCAAGTCAGTGCACCTTTCCGAAAGATGGCAGCTGCATATCGGGACGTGTTGGTCGTGGCCTGGATGGAGGAGAAGGTCTGTTTGTCCATCATTTTCCTGCAAGAATTAAACCAAAAACACAATAAATAATAATAATAATAATAGTGCATTGATTTTATATTGTGCTTTGAGGACCCTCAAAAACGCTTCTTGTCAATATTCATTCAGTCCAAACACAGTGGTGATAAACTACTATTGGAGCCACAGCTGCCCTGCCAAAGCCATCTTAAAACCACAGTTAATTTCAAAGACATAAAACGCATAAGTTTAAGTCTTACAGAGTGCTCAAGTCCAATTCAAAAGTCTCAGTTCTTTGACCAATGACCCAATAGAAGGATAAACAGAGGAATGTGAACAGACCAGAGAATCCTGTTCGCCACTGCCTTTGTCACGACTCAATGAAATAATGGTTGGATGACGATGGCGCTAGTGAGTTAAAACGGCCATAATTAATACTAATATGTCATCTCTCCACAAGGGCATTTTGATAGATTCTAGATAGAGAAATCAATACTAGATAGAGAGGAATACTTGTGAGAAATAGATACTAGATTTATCTATTTCTATTTAACTTCATTCAACCCGGAATGCCCCATTGAGATTAAAGACCTCTTTTTGATATTGAAGCATTTAGAGCTAGCTAAGAAACAAAGCAGCTACTTATAGTGTATATTTTGTGTGCTCCCTCAGCTCTTACTACTTTCTTGTTTGTGCGCTGCAACAATGAAATTTTCCCACAGTGGGATGATTACAGGATCTCTTATCTGGACAAAAAGGGAGTCCTGGACACAAAGACGGATAGAGATAGAGAAATACATACTAGAAGGAGAGAGATAAATGAGATTTCCCACATACACTGCGTAGGTGTTGCCTTCGTCATACGTGGTTCCGTCCACGTTCAGAGCGATCTGTTCCCCTTTGCTGCGACAGTAGTTTGGGCTCATTGTGTCCATGGCCATCTCCAGCTCCAGCTGCAACAAAAGCAGAAGTTAAAACAGCTTTAACTGGCAGAATATTATCTACATCCCAGTTCTCGTGTGGCTTTACCCGCTGCTGTTTGGGCTTGATTTTGGCCGCCAGGTGATTGACGTCGTCATAGTTCATGGTAGAAGGTCTGACTGGGTACTGAGAGAAGATAAACGAGAAGAATGCAAAACTTAGTGTTGGAGCCCTTTGTCTATGTTTAGATTTGAGAATCTAATTTACCTATATTTTGCTATGTTCATTTGTTTAAGATAAGCAATAATTAACACAAATTAACGCATTATTTAATTTAACTTAGGTCATGGGGTTAAATGGGGCTTTAGTGGAGGGCACAGCGTAGAGGCATTTTGGGCACATGGTTGTTCACCAATATGTTCGTCATTTGCTTAGAAAATAAACTAGGAATGTACCAAATCCAGTATTTGGTTTAGGATTCGGCCGAATATTGGCTTTTTTGACAGGGTTTGGGTTCTGGCCGAATCCTTGGAATTTTTCCCCACCGAACCGAACCCTGCATTTACACTATGCGCGCTGTGGCTGGTAATAGATCCATGTGTGGCTGCTGGATTCATCCCGAAAACCGGATTCGTCCGGAAGTTCAGTTTGCGGATGTCAAATAGTGTAAACGGTTTGTTCTGTTATATACAGATTATATAATTGATTTGTGCTCATATGTATATGTATAAGTTTTATTACGAGAAATGGCAAGAAAGTACAGAAAAAAATACATCTTGTAGCCGGTAGCTAGCGCCCAGATGCGTTCAAAGGCACACGGAAATGTGGGAAACACATAGACAGTTTACCATTTTATTCTGGATAATTATTTCAGATACACAGGGATACACACAACAGGTGTATGATGATTAAACAAGTAAAGGACAGTGAATCTAATCAAGAATTAAACTGTCTATGTGTTAGCCTCATTGCCTTGTACCTTTGAACGCATCTGGGCACTAGCTGTGCGGCTACTAAAAGTAGCTCAGGCTGTGTGAGTGAGAAAGTGAAAATGGAACGTGTGAACAGAAAAAGTGTTGTTTGGCAGAACTTTCAGTCCAAAGAAGGTGATTCTAGTCGAGCTACATTATCAATTTTGAATGCCGATTTGTCTCGTGGTGATGAGGACCCTAAACAGTACACAACATCGCCGCTGTTAAAACATTTGCGTATGAAACATGAATGGACTGAGAATGGAGTAGGATTCGGTTTCGGCCGAACCCCAAAAATCTGGATTCGGTACATCCCTAAAATAAACACACCAAAAATGCATCTTTTGTTTGGACATTTTACTTCTATACACTGCGTAAAGCCAACGTGAAACGCCGAAAGTGGCCTTTTGACTTGTTTTGGTTGAAATTGGTCAAGGTTTAAGTTATGGAAATATTGCCCCGACACCGACTAGTGACTTTAGAAAGCAAAAGGTGAAGGGAAAATCAGAAAAAAAACATTGTACAATTAACTACTGCCTTCAAAGGTTCTTAGTAAAATCATCTGGTTTGCCAACCAGACCTTCAATTAGTATAATCCCAGAGGTCTCCCATCACAGTACTTACCAGGCCCTGCCCTGCTTTGCTTAAGAGGTCTCTCAAGGCTGACAGGGTCTGGTTTTCACATGCCGCTATGGCCATTTCAAGGGGTGTCTCGACTTTAACGACAATTAATCTTTAATGAATTAATTAACATTAAACATTTACCTCACTGCTAATTTACACATCACGCGTTACAGCACGTACGCGTTATACGCTCAGCAGACGCGCGTAACTTTTTTCCATGTTAACCTATGATGATATTTACACTTGTAGCGTTATACGCGCGTATGACGGACGTATGACGAGAAGCTGCGCTCTAATTTAGGATGGATTTCTAATTTTGTGCGCGCACCAACGCGTCTCCCATTGAAATCTCATGTAAAACATGATTTTTCTAGTGGTCCTTGGCTCTAGATCGCATCTACACACACAGCACTTGTGTCTAAACATCAGCAGGAGGAGCAGTAGGTTTTACAGTGATTCTGGACATAGTTTTTTTTCTTTCATAAAGTCTGGCGTCTGGCCAAACCAGCGCAGAGACCATGAAGACAAACACATGCATGTGATTTGTGTTGCTCTACATCAGTCCTCTGTACTGTCCTCTGCACTGCTCCATAGACTACACAGGGACAGCATCAGAAGACGTGGACCTGCGCGCACGGTCAGTGTAGATACTCCCAAATAATGTTACGCACAGAGAGCGCGCAGTAAACGCATACGCGCTGTTTATGCCTACTGTGTAAATTCCCCGTCAGACCTCTAAGAATCGCCGAGTAGAGTGACATTGGAGCGTCTGATTGGTCCAATGTTATTTTTATGTCCATATTAAATAAATAAATAAATAATAAATATGTATGAAAGAAAAGAAAAAACAGTAAAGAGGATAATCAACAGTCGTGCATTTTAAAAGCACAATAGAACAATAGATACAATAATCAAGGCACGACATGTTACATTTCCTCTCCAACTGGATCAAGGCGGAGAATGAGACAATACATAGGTTTTGTTTTTATGGAAAACGAGAATCAGGATGTGGCAGACTTACCTGGAGAAGATACAGGTTTTCTGACAGACTTTTGGCGAGATACACATCAATCTAAACAAAACAAAATTAATTAATTGAATATATTTTCAACATAAGAGATGAGTCATAAAGCAGTTACAATAAACTTTCAAACAAATGAATGGTGTCAAAACAGAATAGGATCTGCTTGTTTTTGTACTATTTTTAACTGGATTTTTAAGTTCTCAAGTTCTTGGAGTAGGACTTTTACTGCTTATTTGATAATCTGATCTGTTGTTGAGGAATTGACAGCTTTGCAAAGTCCTCCAAAATGACTGCCGCTGTGATTTAGGGCTATACAAAAACAAATTTAAATCAACTTCTACTTGAAATTGTTGTTGTTGTTTATTGGAATATAGTCGTGTAAGGCTAGTCTGTATAGCCCAGACAAGAAACACAGTCAATAGAATATATTTTTTTAATTGTTGGGTTGTTCTGGGTCTTTTTTGGAGCTCTGCATGTAACGCAGATGTGGTATATTCCAAATAAATGGCACATACCTCTTCTATAATAGGATCATCATCTTCTCCACTGGCCATTTTGTACCCTGTGATAAACCGGATTCAGAGATCAAAACAGGGGAAGTGGCCGGCAGCAGATCTCAAGGACCTCACCTGGAATCACATATGACAAACATAGAATAAGACCAAATATCTAACCCTTGTCCCTAAGTTTAACCACAATATTATACTTCTCCATGTATTGATTCAGCAAATACTAAAAGGCCCACATGAAGCAAGCAGTTCAGCGTAAATAGGCTTGAGTAAAATGAAAATATACAGTATTGAGTCCCAGAGTTTGACAGATAAGACACTGAAATGCTATCAGCTTGTATTTGATGACTGATAATGTTAATGACTAAAATGATGCAATCCAATGCAATTTAAAGGGCTATTGGCCACTTATATTATATGCAGCATGGCTAAAGCGGATTCAGAATTGTATATAATGTATTTGATTATACGATACAGCAGGTTATTACTTGTTAAACCCATATATTGTTGAGTCAAAGTGAGTAAAGTTGGCCAATTAGCAACACAACGGTGCAGACTGGCCATCCAACAAGGCCTGTGAGAGCATTATCAAAGCCTTAGACTAATTTAAGAGACACATACACAATGTTTGGACGTAGTACCACTGTAGAAGCTGTTGAGGATGTGTCAAAATTGTGCAAAAAGACGACTGTCAAGGGAGAATCTAACCAGCATCACCCAGAGCTTAGCAGCGTTAGCATGCTAGCTCGGGATGCTAGCAAACACATGCAGGAGATTCGCAGCGTTAGCATTTGTTAGCATGTCATAATACGGGCTTTTGTTGTTAGCCTCTCACCTGCACACTTCACGGGGGCACCTCTGGCTATCTCATCCGCCTTTGTCCCAGCTCACAGCGGCTTCAAAACGGTGTGAGCTCGTTGTTCGGAGAGCTATCAGCACATCTGTGAGGACCGGGGCATGTTGACTACAGGGTAACACGTGGGGAGGAGCTCATGCCCACGATTCAAAGCACAGATGTAATTTATTAAAATGTTCTGGACTGGTTGTTTTAGTATGTCTCTGCATGCGTTGTGAAAGCTGTAATTGTCAATTTTTAAAGTTAAGGTTGAAAACCTTATGGCAGCGGTGGGATTCGAACCCACGCCATCGAAATGACTGGAGCCTTAATCCAGCGCCTTAGACCGCTCGGCCACGCTACCTTATGACTTGAAATTATGAGCGTATATTTTTTTCATTTTTTCTGTTTTTCTTTGATTCTGAAAAAAACAGTATTTGTCGCTTATATATACGCTTTGAATAGATATAATGTGAATTCTAAAAACATGATATGGTGTGTTTGTAAGTAAACTGGAACCTCAAAGAGTGTCATGTTGGTATTCGTCCACCAGGAGGCAGAGTTATCCCACAAATGGACAAGATTCGTTTATATGAGCAGTGTCTGCCCTCTGCTGGCAATTATAAGCAATAATAAGTGTTATCACGTGTGAACCATAGACTGTGTGTGTGAGTGATATACACATTATTAAAATTAAATTATATTATATTTAAATATAGACCTGATCTGTCTTATTGTTTCACCCCACTGCATCTCTTGTCTTGTAAAAAAATGGAAACAAATTTGGGTTGATGTTCCCTCGTGCCTGAGTGGTAAAGCCCTACTCTTCTCTACTCTACTCTTCTCTACTCTACTCTTCTCTACTCTACTCTTCTCTACTCTACTCTTATCTACTCTACTTTACTCTATTCAGGCCGAGCTGGTAAAAACCTGTTCTACCATAGAATTTACCTGGATACTAGTTTGTTGTGGGTAGGTTGCTAGGATGTGTTACCAGATACTGATGTGTAATGGTAGATTTGGAAACACAACCAGGTAGAGTAGATCCGAGTAGGGTAAGGCCAATTCAGTCAAAAATACCAAAACCATATACATTTGTACAAACAGTAAAATAAATTATAAAAAATGAGACAATTCCAAACAAAACAATAAGAAAACATAGATTTCTCTCTCTCTGGTCGCTGTGTCTGGTCTCTGTCTCTGGTCTCTGTCTCTGGTTTCGGTCTCTGGTCTCTGTGTCTGGTCTCTCTCTTTCCCACCAAAGTCTCCCCTCAATTTCCATCCAATTTCCCAATTTTGAGCTGTGTCCTTATTCTTAAACATATGGTTGGGTTATTAGATTTATGTAAGAAGAAACAGTACATTGTAAATTGCCTTTACCAGTTGCCACAGTGTTTTGACCTGTTAAATTGTATGATCTACTATAACAGGAACGCATGCTTCCAATCTCACCAAAAACAGCTGGACTTGTTTCATTGGATTATCAAACCCTTTCTTCTTCCAAACCTACATTTCTACGAGAGCTTGTAAACAGCCCATGACACAATACAAACATCATGAAATATTTTATTAGTGACATAATTCATACAAAGGGACAAGTCTGCACTTTATTTTAGCCACAAAGCCGACTATAGAGCGGACAGAGAGAGTCACAAGATTGATAAATAGTTTTGAATTGTGTGGTTCTTTTATTTGACTGTGTAAAGGCCAGGCATAATGGGCTCCCTGTTAATATTCAATACACAGAGAAGCCATGCTATTAAAACTAAGTTGTAAAAATAGATGGCGGACGTGCGGCAGTGGGAGCATGAAAACAGACAAAGACAAATGTGATGTCACGCTGCAATGTCATTAAAAAGATTGATTTTTCCAGATTTTATTGAATTATTGCAACGTCTGAATTAGCTCAAGCGTCTGTTGTGAGAGCGGTATGACAATAATAAAAAGGGGCAATTGTGCTAATGCTAAAATCCAATTTCCACAACATGCATTTCTGTGGACTTTCCCCAATAAGTGAATTAGCTGCTTTAAAACTGATGTTTAATAATTAAGCTGTTTTGTTGAGGGCAAAGTGTTGGTAAAGGCTAAAGTGAAAGTGTTATTTCTCTTTAAAATAGAGCAAGAAATCGCCTTGAGGTCCTGCCCAATTTGATAATATTAATAATAAGAATGCATTGGTTTGATATTTCACTTTCGAACAAAGGTGATGGGTGATGTGTCTTTGCACAAGGACACAACAACAGTTTAGCACTTAACAGCTGCAGCTGCCCCACTGTGGCACCAACCGTTCCCAGAGGTCTCCCATCCCCATCCCTGTACTAACTAGGCACAGCCCTGCTTAGCTTCCACGATCTGACTGGATCTAGCTTTAACCTGCAAGGGGTGCCAAACAACACCATAAATAAATAAATAAATAAATAAATAAATAAATAAATAAATAAATAAATAAATAAATAAATAAATAAATAAATAAATAAAATATAATGATAATAATTCCAATACAATTTAACATTATAATTTCCAAACATAAAATTCTACTTTTAATAAGTTACAAATTCTAGCTTTCCCCAGAAAAATTGGGGTTCAAACTGGGTTACAAAATCGTTGGGGAAAAAAAAAAATCCAGTTTGCTTCTATCACTAAGGCCTCTGTTAGCTAATCGACAACTTAAAGTCCTCTTACTAATTTTATGATTTAGGGCTATACAAAAATAAATGTAATTGTCAAATTTTTTTAATCCGTTTTTTCCGACAGAAAATTGAAAAAAGAGAGGTCCACCATCCAATCAGCCCCAAGAGTCAAATACTGACTCTCTTGGATCTTTCTTACAAGTCTGCGAAAGGTAAAATGTTTTATTCTGCAAAACCCCCACTTGTACACTAGCAGAGCGTGCAAACTCCAGTCAAAGCTACAGCAGTGAGGTCTTAAACAGGGGTCTTTAGCCGCTCGCCCTCCAGAGGCCGATGTGGTTCTACTGATGGTGCAAACTCGTCCCTTGTGCTCGTGAATATTTGATGGGCGCATTACATCGTGTTTAATGGCGATTAAAGTTTACCCAGAGGTCTGTGCTTTAACGTATACATTAACAGTATGGAACAGCGTTATGATGTCACATGAATAAAACACAAAACTCCGAAGAGATCAGCTCAGATTTGTGCAAAGTAGAAAGCATTAATGTGGGGTGTGCTGTGTGTGTGTGTGTGTGTGTGTGTGTGTGTGTGAGGTGTGTGTGTGTGTGAGGTGTGTGTGTCTACAGCTGTGTTTTAATGTATAGGGTTTAGTCAATACAAGAAGAGGGTTTAGTTGCTTTCGACACGTCAGATAGCACTACGCTCCTCTAATATGCAGAAAAGTACCGGTCAGACCTGGCGGGACAGGAACCGAGTCAGACCTGGCAGGGCCTTATCAGATGGACTTTCACCTCACACCTCTGGGAGAGCTCCTTCCAGTTCCCAGAGGAGGGGTGAGTGAACCATAGCCGTGTTTCCACAGCAGGAGTTCCTGGAAAAAGGAGCGGGGCGGAAATTTTAAAGGAACTTTTGTCTCCCTCGGTCCTCTCAGTGTCTGTGTCTCCACTGCAGTAGAACCACTCGGCGACGTCATGAGTTTTGATTGCCGCAGAAGCGAAAATCATTACGCCAAACCCATCTTATTTTACAGTCGTAACTGCTCCGGTTGTTGTGGTCTTTGAGTTTTTTGTAGGCCTGCTTCAGTTTTTTTAACTTTTCATGGCTTGTTTTGGAGTGTGATGAATCCCCAGTGCTTCGAGGTGAAGCTGATATGTCTTAATACAGTATATCTTTTCAGTTAGCCAATGCTGTGCTGTTGTTCGCTGTTTCCAGTGGTGTCTGCTAGGCTAATGCTACAGGGCTAATGTCGCTGGTCTAATGCTACAGGGCTAATGCTGCAGGGTTAATGCTGCAGGGTTAATGCTGGTTGTTTTAGTGCTTTCTGCTGGCGTCAGAGCCTGTGGTAGCTTTAGCCAATCAGCGCTGGGTTAACTTCAAGCCCCACCAGGAGCTGTTCAGGGCCCAACGGAGTACCTAGCATGGAGGAGGGACTCTGTTGGGCCCGTAGAAGTTCCTGTAAATGGCCCTTGTGGGGGAAGTTCCTACAGTGGAGACACACATCGACGGGGCTGGCCCTGGAGAATTACCCCGAAGTCTGTGCGGTGGAAACGGGGCACATGTTCTCTGCTGTGGTCACATGG